CACATCCCATCCAAATAAATATTTCAGCCCATTTTATGAAAGCTAGAATTCTTAGGCTTCGAACATTTCATTTGCACATAAGGCATTTGGTAAAATAAAGAAAGATAAAATTATTTTTTATTTATTATTATAATTTCTTATTTACAGATTTTGTCAAATTATAAATTACAAATAGAAGATACTCAATTGATAGCTCAGTGATATTGTATAAACTCAGTGATATTGTAAAAGCCATAAAAAAAATGTCAATGGGGTGTCATGTCTGGTTTGAATTGTTTTTTAAACATTTTGCTTTTTATTTTCTAGCAAATATTTTGCAAACATAAGTAAAAACTTTTTCGTAAAATTGAAATATATTCACTTTTATTGATAGTAATGAAGCAAAATAATTTAATGACAATTTATCAACAACAATGTGCCAACAAAAAAAGTACTCTTTACATTAGTTTCTTACCAATAGCTGCTTTTTAGATTATTTTGTGTATATATACACTTACTAGATAATTATATAAGTATGTAATGTCTAAATGATTTGGTCTATTACTTTTTCTGATGTCTTTAACTTGTTAATCTACCTTTTCCTTCAAGTTTTAAGTTTTAGTTTTTATGTGCTTGTATTAAGTCTAACTTATCTACAAACTGAGATGCTGATTTTGTTCCATCATCATGTCATTGATGTCATTTTATCATGTCGTATTATTATTTCATGTCATATTTTTAAGGTAGTTGTAAATTTAAAGGCCAACAATGTTATTATTCGCACCCTATTTTTGTTAATCATCCGAAACAAATCCAATTTTGCAGTTTTTGAAACAGTACATTGCTGTCAAATTTATATCATTCAAAGGGAGCCAGTGTTGTTTAAATATTAACCTCCTAAAGTTACATCTCTTTATCGTGCTCACCACTTTTTTACTTCTATTCTTTATCTCTATAGATCTCAAATCCGCCCTTGTATGGAATACTGTTGCCATATCTGGGGTGGATCTTCCAATGATGCTCTTTCTCTTTTAGACAAGGTGCAAAAACGCATAGTAAGTATAGCTGGACCTGCTGTTGCAGCCAACCTCCAACCATTATCACATTGTCGTAATGTTGCTTCTCTTGCTCTTCTCTATAAATACTAAAATGGGCACTAGCTCTAAAGAGCTAACATCTTTTGTACCATCTACTAAAATTCATTCTCGTGTTACTCGTCATTCAATTAGGTCTCATCTTTTCACTGTGACCGTTCCTAAGTGCTTCAAAAATTCTTATTTTTCTAGTTTTTTTTCTCATGTTTTAGTAGTGTCTGGGCTAATTATGTTTTGTTGCCAGTTAGCTCTCCTTTTTCAACTCACAAATGACTATATTTTCTGTTCTTTGTGGCAAGTTTTTTTTTAATGTTGCAAGTTGTTTTTTTAGTGTGCATCAAAAGCAAATTTTTTTTTGTTATTAATAATTTGTATGTAGTTACTAAAATTTAATTTAAGTGCTGTAAGTAGACTAAGTTATTAACTATACTAGTTGTAAATTATTTATACGAGTAGACAGTAACTTCCAGTAACTTTTTTTATTTGAACCAAGTTGAAACTGAAATTAAAAAAATGCAGGTGGAATAAAAATGACTGTTAAGAAGAACTTTTCAACTTTTTATCTAAACTATTTTTTCAACACTGGCTAACTTTTTGTAATGTAATCTATAAAAACTAAAAATAAAAAAAAATTAAAATTAAAAACTAACCCTCCAACTATCTATTACAATGAAAGGACATTGTTTTCACCATTGTTTTGTGGAGCCGAGTCAGAGCCGGAGCTGTGGAGCTGCTGTTTTTTGGTGGAGCCGGAACCGGAGCTGCAAAAATTGAGCGACTCGGCTCTTGTGTTTTTTTTAATGGAATAGAATGTTTATTTTTTTACTGTAGACAAACTTTATTCATTTATTGTTAAACTAATTTGTTGAATGAATTTTTTATTGAAATTCTATTTTTTGAAAATATTTTTTTCTAACAGTTACGGTTATGCCAAAACTTAATAAAAATGAATATTTTAACAATTTTTTGCTCAACAATATACTACCCCTTAATAAAACTTCTTAATATTCTTTATTAAAAAAAAAGTAAATTGTAAATGGAAACATTACAGTGATGTACATATTGCTTTATATTATATTTTTATACTGATACTATGCTGTTAAATATTTATTGCGCTATTTAATGATCAAAGGTTATTGATATCTTTAAAATTAAACTAAGGCATGCGATCGTTTAATTTGGAACAATAAATTTTGTTCAAAACTTGTCACTAACACATTATTAATTTATTTTTTTTGCGTAATTACATAAAGTAGTTATGGTATTAATTAAAAACATCAACAAACGAATCAAAAGGTTTCTCTTAATTAAAATGTCATTGAAACATTTAAAAAAACGAAAAAAAATTCTGCACGACTATTTACAAAGTCCTTCTACATCGTTAATTATAAGTAGCCTCCTCGTCTGTAGTGGCCTACTCGGCCTTGAGGAGGTGAATTAAAATAAAAATTAAAAAAAAAAAATTTCAATTGCTAAGGCATTTGAATCTAGCAAAACTATTGTTTGCGTTGTCATAAAACAATACAAAAGCTCTCTATCTATCAAACAAGAAAAAGGATCTGGATGAAAGAGTAGCTTTAAGAATAAGAAAACCGCAATTAGTATTCGACGATCATTCACGCGAAACCCCTGCTAACAGAGTACGAGCCAAAGGATATAAAGTTTCAGAGTTTTTAAAAATTAATATTTGGAAAGCAATATGCAGTTGCAGTTTGAAATCTCGAGCTTTTGTCACATCGTCAATTTTAAATTTGGATGTTTACATCAAAGAATACTTGCAAGCTAGACTTTTGGAATTTTATTGAAGTCACGATGTCCCTTGTTGGTTCTGGCTTAATCTTGCTTCTTGTCATTATTCTAAGAAGAGTGACATCAAATTCATACCAAAAAGCTTGAATCCATCAATTTCCCCACGATTCGTCCCATTGAGAAGTCGATGTCGTTGATAAGCGTAAATGTTTGCTTATTTATTTGAAATAATAAAAATATTTAAAAAAAAAAGCACTTTTGTAATCTTCAAATTCCTTAGATTAAATGAATATATTTTGTAGTTTTTGCATTAGTTGAACTATTTTTTATTTATTTTTGAATTTTTTATTGTTTTTAATTTAAGGATCGCATGCTTTTCCCAGTTGGCACGTGACATATAAAAGAGCTCTTTTAAACGTCTTTGAAGTGTTTTAAATGTCTTTTGAACGTTCAAAATACGTTTTTTTTAGGTCCTGTGCCTACTGGATACCCAGTGGGCAAGGGACTCAGTGGGGGCATAAGAAAGGCGTTTTTTAAACGTCTTTTGAACGTTTGAGATGGACGTCTTTAGGACATTCAAAAGACGTCTTTTTTAAGTACTGTGCCCCCTGGGTAGAATTAAAACTAAAATTTGAAACAAAAACTTTAGTTTTGGGTAAGTAATATATAAAAAAAAGTGTTTATTTACTCAAAAAGATTTCCTTTTCAAATGTAATATCCTGTAGTAGTAATACAATAACCTTGTAATCATGAGAGTTGGTTAAAAACTAATTGTTGTAATTGGTACAGTTTTGGGTTGGCAAATGTGATAAAAAATAATTTTAAAAATTGCAATTTTTGTTCATAAAGTAAAGGAGCCGCAGTCGAGCTGGGAGCCGAGCCGGAGCCGAGCCGTCAAAAAAAACAGTCAGCTCCACAAGCCTGGTTTTCACTTAATCTCAAAGTTTGAAAGAATAAAAAAAAATTAAAACACAAGCTTAAATAGGAAAAAAATATTTTAATAAGTAATGAATTTTCAATACATTCAATGTTTACTGTTTGTTTTTATTAATTTTAAACTTTGATTACTTTTAAAGTTTAAATTACATTATTTTGTTTAATGCAATTTGATTTTTAAATGATATAACTTGGTATGCAATTGACAATCTAAAAGTTTGTTTATTTTAATATAAAAAACACCAATATATAAAAGCTTATACAAATAAATATGAAATACTGCAGTACACAGTACTGATACTACAGTATTAATTTTTATGCATAGTTGTAGTAAGCAGGAATTTTTTGAATAGATTTTTTATTTGATATTAGTAAATTTCTTTTAACAACTCAAAAGCAAAAAATAAATGTAAATTAAAGATCAGCATTTATTATAATTTGACTAAAAAAATTTTTTAAAAAATGATAACAACATCATAGTCTCATTAAGTTTTCACCTGATAAAGGCCTATCATTATTTGTTTAATAGTTTAAGACATTAATTGTTAAATATGCTGAAATAATCATCCTTGTTTTTTTGTTTTTTTTTTGTATTTAAATTTTATTTATGACATTTGTGTATTATGTAAACTTCAAACTTATATGTTCATACTGGTTTCAATTGTGAATTTTTAATATTAATGTTTAGCATTTCCAGGCCATGCCAGGGGGGGGGGGGGTTGTCAGCAAAAGTTGTAATGGCGCCTTCTTCCTTTCCTCATGTGACACCTTGCGCCAGCCCTGTTAGCATGGGCAACATAAACAACCTAAAAATTAGTGTTGTTACTTAAAATGTGAGTAAATTGTTTTTAAAGTTTTATTTTTTGAAAGAAGAATAAAAATGCTGCTTTAAATTAAATTAAAATTTATCTGTAGCTTTAAAGTTTCATCATAAAATATTATTTCTTTTAAAATTTTTAAAGAAACAATTTTTAAACAACCAACTTAATTTTAATTTCAATAATACAAAAGGTTTTACATAAATATTGATCATTTATCTTTAATTATAAAATGTAATTGTATAATTAAAAATAAAATGACATTACGGGATAAGTGAAAATAGCTGTATAAGTCAGGATTTTTATTAGAAAAGCACTCACACACTTACCAAAAAAAATCTTTATCAGAAATAAAGTTTTGCATGTGTTAGTAAATTAAATTGCTTTTTTATTATTTAAAGTTTATTTGAATTTTTTTTTTTAGTACAAAAAAAGCATGCTACTACACGAATGATAATGGTGTGCTATGGGCAGGTTGTTTATATATACTTTTTTACTTTCAATTTGCATTTGTATTTTTAGTAAAATATTTGCTATTACAAATACAAACAAGGTTTCTAAAAGAAGAACTGATCTGATTGTCAGAAGCTTTTACTTATGTATTAATGTATATAAACTCTAATAAATATAAATAATTTAAGTAATAAACAACAAAATTTATATAATGTATATACATTTATTAACAAGTAAAACAAACCTTTGTATAACACATATTTTACATTTAAATAGAAAGTTTTAACATTAAAATAATGCATAGTTATTATTAAAAATGCCTGATTACATCATCCATAAAGAGAATGGAATTTTTTTAAATTGTTTTTGAAAATCTGAAAGTGGTAGATATATCAAAAATAGATAAAACAATTGGATTTTGTTAAACCTTTTTTTACATAGACATTTTTAGCTTTATATAGAATTTTATTGCTTTAGGAAACTTTTGTGTCAATAATAATCAGTTTCTATCTGGGTTTTTTCTGTGGTTGTAATGTTTTCAACAAGAAAATTAGTTAAAAATTTTGTAACATATTCTTTAGTTTCTTCAATATCCTAAAAAAGCTTTTTTGAGGCTGGATGGAAAAGAATCCATTTCATTTAGATAATTTATATAAATCAAAAGCAATAGTAGTCTCAAATTGGAATCTTGGAAAACACTACATGAAACTTGTTTTGATAATCATTAGTACTGAAAACAAATTGTTTACAGTTTAATAAATAACTTCTGAATCATCTTGTAACTTTGTAACTTTTTTGTTTGTTTGAAAATATTTTAATCTAAATCGCCTAATTTATATTAAGATTTTTTAAATAAAAGTGAGAATTTATGTATAATTTGTTTTATTACATGTTCAATGAAATAATTGTTTTTAAAAGTAATTTGGTTGCTGTAAAACAGAATATGTTCTAGTATTTTTGAAAGTGCATAGAGGACAGAGGTAGAGCAATATTTCCTGACACTGGTTTGGCCACCTGCTTTTAATATAACTTTAGCAAATTTCAATTGCTAAGGAGGAACTCCTTAATGAATAGATGCTTTAAAAAAACTTTGAAAAAGATCTCTTTTAAGTGTTTACCAATTATGTTACCGTTGTCAACTGCTCAGCCTGCTTTTTTTTATATATATAAAGATTTAAAAGATAGTTCAAAAAATAACACAATGAAATGTGTTCAGTTCTCTGTCTGAACTAAAAATGTTATTAAATGTAAGATTAGTATTAGGGAATTTTTAGAATTGATATCATTCAAAAATTTATTAAATTCATTAGCTATAGCTATTGATTCAAGCATACCTTATTTTTATCAACTATTATTGCATGGGGAGGCAACCTGAACATTTTGTTTGTATATCAGTAATTTCTTTTTAAATCTTTTTAAAGCAGTTAGTCAAGAAATGGTATCAGATTAAGGTATTGGGGCAGCAATATCGGGGGTACAAATAGAGTTCAAAAAAATCTTCAAGAAACCAGTTGTTTACTAATTCTTTATAAAAAAGGTTCAAATGGTGTTACATTACTGACGCCACATGGACACAGACCACCATAAAGCACTAAACATTTCAGACACCACTTTTTGTGAATTCAAAAAGAAGCATAGGGTGATAATAGTTAGGGGAAAAAATACATCACACTAATTGAAAACATTCCCATTATATTCCGAATTTTACATACAGGATATTGAATCTATTACCAAACATTCAAAATAAAAAAATCATGTTTTAGCTGCATCATTAATTTATTGTTAAAACAATACATTAATAATAAATACAGTTACAAAATTGTTAAAACAATATATTTATAATAAATATAGATCAAATCAAGTTCTAAATTAAATAAAATTTGTCAAAAATCTACATAAGATGTATCTTGTTATTAAATGACTCATTAACAAACCATCATTGATTGTGGTATCGTGCTTAATAATTTAGTAAATAAGCTGAGAGGGTTTATTAATGATACACATCTGCCACAACACATATCTGTATGCACTAAATTCAAATCATTTTTGAAACAAGCAAACAACAAGGTTTATTTTGCTATATATTAGAAGAATATATTGCAATTATTAGAGTTACTACATTATTTTCAAGAGCAGTGCTAAAAATAGTTAAAATCCTAAAAAACATATTACACATTATTGTAATAGCATTATTTTTTTATATATAACAAAATTTATTATTAATATGACAAATAAAATATAGTAATACAATAAAGTAATAACATGAAAAATAACCATAAATATTAGTTAATGAAATAAAACCATTTGCAATATTACCACGGAGCATTTATTCTTACCTTAATTGTGTTGAATTCAATTTTTTCTGCAAAACAGTTTAAAAATGATAGTTAAAGTAAATTTCAAGTCAAAAAATTTCTTAATTCAACATTTAGACAAACTAAAATAAAGACCCAAGGTTCAACTGAAATATATAAAATATATAAATAATAAAAAGTAGTAATGTTTACATTTATATAAATTATAGTGTTCTTGATTAAAATATAAATAAAAACATATTACATATAAAATGAAAAGTTAAATCATATATGTTTTTTTATATATGAAATTTGCTAAAATTATATTTACCGATTAAAGGTATTAAAGACAGTGACAGATCCTAGGGGAGTATAGGGGTATGCATATCAGCACTCTTCTTCATATCCTGTAGCTTCAGGGGTTTCTCAAGGTTTAATCCTTGGCCCTATACTCTTTTCAATTTACATTACTGATCTTCCAGATATTGTCACATCTAAGGTAGCATTTTAGTATCATCAGCTTCCAGTAATTTCCAACTCTTATAGTGGTTGCTTGCAGCCTTGTTGAAGGCGAAGATGTAAAAAAAAAAAAAAAAATTTCTTCCTGTTTATAAGAAAATGAATTTATAAGAAAATTAAATTTCAGCTAGGCTAAAAAATTTTTTAGCCTTGATGAAAAGTTATTTTTAAATCAATATTGAACTCCATAACATAGTTTTTACAAATTTTATTTGTTCCTTACCTTTATAACTTTATTTTCTATGTATACTTTGTAAACAAATTGACAACAAATCAAATTAAATATATCCTGAATAAAGTTGTTACATCAACGATATTTACAAACAGTAATAAATACTAATATGAAGTAAACACCTGTCAAATTTATTAATGATAAAATTGAGATAATGATTATTATTATTATAATACAAATAAGAGTAGTTTAAAATAATAGTAGTAATAAGAGAGATTGAAATTAATAGTAAAGATTATAAAAAGTATTTACTATACTGTAATAATAATAGTAATAAAATAATAAAGATATTATTTTTTTTACAACAATAATGACAACAACAATAATAATATTAAATAGTCATAACAATAATAAAATAATAAAATAATAATAAATAATAATCATAACAATAATAAGAACAGTAATAATATTAATATTTAATATGATAAAAATAATAATAATAATAATAGCAATTAAAAGAAAAATATATATATAAATAAATAATAACTAGTATTATAACACAAAAAAAAGAAAAAAGTTAAAATTTAATTTATTTATTTAAAATTCATCAAGATAAATAGAAGTTCAGAGTTTGGGTTATAAATAATAATTTGTAGAAAAGTATAAGATTCATAAACAATATTTTTCCAAGAAATAGTTCAAGAGAGCAGTTTTAAATTTTGTGAATGATTTAAGAGATTTTAGTTGGAAAGGGAGATTTTTCTAAATATGTAAAACTGTAAAACAAAGTAACAAAACTGTAAACTAAAAGTAAAACAAATATCTTTCTAATTAGGACTGATATATACTTTAGATAATGTTTTCATTATAGGTATGGATATACGCATAGGTTCAGTTTTGGGTCATCACAATGAAACTAGAGAGCTTTATGCTATACATAAAAATCAGAAGGTTTATATGATGTTTCACAATACTTATAAAAAATGGTTAGCTGTAACTGTAAACGAGTTTCAAACAAAAATCTCAAGTCACATAAATTGGAAATTGTTGAAAACTTTAGAGAAAGATTATGATCAAATTTTGACTTTTGGATCAAACCAATGGATGGGTTAGTATGCATTGTTTACACACACAAACACGCACAGATATATATATATATATATATATATATATATATATATATATATATATATTATATATATATATATATATATATATATATATATATATATATATATATATATATATATAATTATTATATTAGATTTATATCAGCTTAAACTAGGCTCAGGTAAAGTCGAATTATCCTGTAAGTAAACATATCTTCAAGGTACACCATACAAACCTCCAAAGTACATTATCTGTGATCTGTGGTGTACATTAGCTGTAGTGTAAGCAATTTTTTAAAGCTAAAAAAAGGGTAAAAAAATGTCTGCGTGTTTAAGAAAAAGCAGTACCATATTTTTTATTTAGCTTAATGTACCTAATACCATTAAGCTAAATAAAAAATATTGTTACAAAATGTGTTTTAAGTATTTGCTGGCTCTAAGTTACACCACTAGGAAATGTTTTACAAAATGACTACCATATATTTATAGTTTAATATAATTGATAATACGATAAGATAATACCATGTTGATATACAATAATTGATAATACAATAAGATAATACCATGTATTCATAGATTAAAAGTTAACCAGTTTTAAGCATGTGTAAATGTAACTGAATGTATGCATTAAAAATTGTGATTATCGGTTTAAAAATAAAGTTGGTACTTACACTTATTAAAAAAAAAAAAAATTTATATAAGTTACTTTTGATATGGTAAACTAACTTTTTTTTTTATTGCAACATGTTGATTAATGGTGTAACAACTTCCTATGAGCCTCTAGTGGCCAATACAATTTAGTTTAAGTTCATCACTCAAGAAGCCCAAACCAAAACCCTCAGTTGATGTAGTTCTCTAGTTTCTATTGTCTTCATTAGTCTTTTGTTAAAAAAATTCCTTAATTATTTTCTAAGAAGCTGATAATGTAAGGACCATAAATCCTCCGTTTTTTTTCTTTTACCTTCTCTTTTTTTTTTTTTTTTTTTTTTTGTGCAACTATAAATACAGGAATTTGGTCATAAAGTTTGCCAGCTAAGTAAGCTAGTGGCAACTATAAAAACAGAGAGTTGGGTACCACCTTTTTTAGCTAAGTAAGCTAACAACAACTGATAACTATTTAGACTATGTTTCACAGCATTTTTCAACTATATTTCACAATAAGATTTTCTAGCTAGGTATATGCTAAGAATGTTACATTATATTTGCTGCAAGTTAAAAAAATGCAACTGTTTTGCGCATTCCAATTAAAATTGCCAGATCTTTATTTATATTTAATAAACTTATTTATCTTTTGTTAACATTCAGTGAGCTTTACTTATTTTTTTTTATCTTTTGCTTGTGGTTCTTAATTTTTAACTATGTTGATAGCTGCAGAAAATAGAAATGTAGCTACTGACATGTCACAATAAAATCGCTAAGTTTTTAAAATTTTATTATTTTGTTCAATATATTTAATCCAACACTAGAAATCAATATTTTCAATAACAAATTTATACAACACACTTAAAAAAAGGTAGAAATTTCTACATTAGTGTTGGATTTGTGATGTACCCTTAGTAAGGTATAATTTTCTACCTTTTAGGGTAGAAAATTATAACAAAAATAATGATTTATAATTTTCTACCTTAAAATTATAATTTTAAGGTATTGTGACTATTCCAGTGGAAATTTTCTTTGCAAATTTTGGAATGTTCAGGTACAGCTGATTTTTTCTATTTACCTTGTTGTGCACTTGTTTGATGCTGGCATATCCGAGACGATATCTTTAGTCCAGTTTCACCAACATAACATTTGCCACAAGAGCACTATAATTTGTAAACACCGGTATAGGAATAGAAACAACTAGTTTTAATAGATTAGTTAGGCAAGCATTGGAAATACAACACAACGAAAGTACCTTTTGCAACAATGGTCTTAATCAGGATGATGGCGATTATGTGACAATGTCTCTTTGGAAACCCATGTTCAAATTCTTATGTTACAAAAAACTCTCTTAAAAAAACTCTTAATAAAAATCTATTTTACCCAAACCATTGTTTCGTAAATTTATGCGATTTTGTATAATATACCAGTTTTATTTTTTATAACTGTTTTTAATATACTTGATAACAAGGGTATCAATATTCCTTCGAAATATCGTAAAAATAAATATATTTTTAACAAATAGATATTAAACCATAAAAAGAAGTTTTATTTAAAAAATATATATATATATATATCAGGGGCGGATCTAGGGTATGTCTAGTACGTCTGTAGGCGTACCCAAAAATAAAACTAAATCTAAAAAAAAAAAGTTAATATATTATTTCAATATTGCGTATAAAAATTATTTTTTTAATTTCACCGTTAGGTAAATTAAATTTAAGTTTTATTACCTTTATGCAAACAGCTATTAAAAAATAATTTTTTTCGCTTCATGTTTAGAGGCCGGCGTCTGTGGCATAAAAATTAGGGATGTACCGAAGCCAGGGTCAAGTTTTTTTAGTTAATTAAAGGTAATAAGCTACTGTTATATTAAATATAAAATAATTTTATTGCTTACTATATAATTACTAAAATTCTACTACTTGTAATTTGCTCCTTTACTTTGATTCCTTGACATATACTGCGGCATATATAATATAGATTGCCATGTACCGCAAACTATATTTTTTTTTTTTTTTTGCCTATTTATCAAAATTAATGTGTAATTTTTTATATTTTCTGTAAGTTCTATGTTTAATTTCATTCCATTGTTATATTTCCTATAACCTATTTTCATTGTAACTTGTAAAAAATTATTTCTTATCACCACTCAAAAACATGAATTATTAATATCTGCAAATAACCTGCAGAATATCAATGGTAGCATGCTGCATGAATTCTATGCATACTAAAACACTTTGAAAGCGTCACGAAAGGTAAGAGCAGACCCATTAGAGATCATACCGTATCTTGACTAAGCTAGGGACAAATCAACTGGAATCAAAACTGTTGTTGATGAACTTAAAACTGATTTTAAAATTCATTTTCATAAATACAAAGATAATGCTCGTCTGGAAGTTGCAATGATTCTCAAACCTCGTTTTAGATAAAAAAATTTAAGAAACAGATCATAGCATGTTTAAGGAAATTTTATATTAAGGGTAGTGCTGCTTTCATTTGGAGTATCGATACTCTGAATGAAAAAGGTAGTACCCTTGATATAAAATTTGCTTGCTTGTTTTAAATGACCATTTACAACAAGCAAAAGAAGTTAATTTTGTTAAAGACTTTGATCATAATGGTCTAATCAAAAAAGAAAGCATGGGCATGTATAGCTTATTAGAGAAAATGGGTATAAATAAAAATGCTTCACAGAAATGTGAAAACACTGATGGAGGGGAAAAAAGTATTATAGTAAAAATCCTAGAGGAAAAACTCAAAATTTAAAAGGAAAATGGTAAGAATAAAAAAATATCTAAATAAAATTATAATTTTTTTTATTTATTACAAATATAATTAAAAATTGATGTTAATTAATGTTAATGTCAAATTAATTATTATGTTGCATTCAGCCGTGTTAATAGAAATTTATTTACAGGTTTGTTTGCACACCAGAATTGCTGTAGGCAAAATTATATTATTTATATTATGGAAAGATTACTGCAAGCAGGCACAAACTATATATAGGCATTTAATATTTTAAATTTTCCATGCAAAACATAATTATTTATCAACTATAAAAGTTTATTTATAAGTTGAATAAGAGTATTCTTGTTTTCTTGATTAAAGATTTAAAATATTAGTTTAAACTTTAAATTGATTCATAGTTTTGATTCAACATGGCCAAAGTCAACTTCGACTTTAGCCTATTAACATTACTAAAAAATGAATGCCCTAATAAGTGGTGGAATGTTTACAATTACACCTCCTCCAATAAAGACACTAACAAGTTGGATTCGGCAAGGTTTTCAATGAAAATTTTGTGTGCACCTCTTTCATCTGTAAAGAGTGAACCTCTGTTCAGCACAAAGGCAAACATATTTTAAGCCAAAAGAAACAGACTGTTGCCTGAGCATGGAGAACAGATAACGTTTTTAAACTATAGTTTGCCTGATTTCTAACAATGTATAATTAATTTAAACGTAACAAACTAATAAGTATAATAAAAACAACCTCTCTCATTTACTATAATTTATGGTAATTACTAAATGGTAAATTTATTATAACACAAAGTAAAAACTTATGTAATGTTCAACTATTAATTTGTAATTAGTAATTACTAGTTAGCTGATCATCTTTTTTGCATGTAATATTAAATTTGTTCAAAAAAGGTATTGCTATATCCTAAAATCCTATGACATCGCGCAATTAAAGAAAAAACAACCTTGATGATTGGATATAGTAGAATACCTTGTGCGCTAAAATACTTATGAATGCAGTACATATATTTTACTATATGCAGTGCATATAATAATTGTAGTAAAGTGTTAAAAAATGTTTTTCAGTAATTAATATCATTTCTAGATAGCTAGATCTGCAAGATAGCAAATTTTACCTATGAGAGCGCAAAAGCTTTGGCTCCGGCCGAAGCTTCTGCTTTGACAGATCTTAGCTTTGGTACATCCCTATTAAAAATCGTTCTAAAAAAAGACATCTGTTATATCTATTTAGTAACTAAATTTTGGAAAAAGTGTTTTCAAGAGCTAAAAAAACTAATCCTAAATAATTAATTTTTTTTTTATTTCAATTTTAGTAAGTATATTCTTCAATAAATTGCCTAAAGTAAAAAAAACAATTGAATGCTTATATATATATATATATATATATATATATATATATATATATATATATATATATATATATATATATATATATATATATATATATATATATATATATATATATATATATATATATATATATATATCAGCATAGAGACTCCTGGAAAAGTCTCTGCATCAAATTAATAATTTAACATTTAAATATATACATATGTAAATGTATATATTTTTTAATTATTGTTACGGCATTATTGCGGTTTAAATGTATAAATTTGATTACTGAATATATCAAACTCATATATATATATATATATATATATATATATATATATATATATATATATATATATATATATATATATATATATATATATATATATATATATTATATGTATTATATATATGTGTGTGTGTGTATATGTATATATAAATAACATATATATAAATATAAATATGTATATATATATTATATTATATATTATATATGTATATATATATATACACTTGTATATATACGAGTATATGTATATATATATAAAACATTCGCAGGGCTCAAATTAACGCAAAAAAATCTAATCGCAAAAAATAAAATTTTCACAACCCCCCGTTGCGTTAGTATATAATTGTTACTTTTGAACGTAGTTGTTCTATTTTTAACATATTATCTCTCATATTTAAATATAATCTTATAATTTTCTTGTTTGGCAGAGTTTAAAATAGCATAAGTTACTGTTATTATTTACAACTTAAGTTATAACTTAAAGTTTAATTTGCAATTGTAATAAGCAATAACGTTTTTATTACTATTAAGATATTTCTTTAAGTATATTTTTACTTAACATGATACTTAAAAAAGTAAAAGTAAAAAACTAAGAGGAAAAGCAACATTGCAATATCTAAACCACTTTAATTAGTCAAAGAAAACTATTTAATACGTTCATACTGACGTTAAAACACGTGTTAATTTTAATTGTTAAAAGCTATAAAAGCTTAAATAAACTTCAAAGTTGTTTTAAAAATATAAAGAGCCTGGGCTAATAGATTCGTGACGCTGTTTCATGTTGATTTATATGGTTTATAAAATAAAATGCGTTTAAAATAAAATGAAGCAAATAAATAAAATTGATCTAGTTAATAAACTAAAACAAAACTTCATATTTGCGCCTATAGACCTATACGAGTTTATAATCTATAGACCAAACGAAGCAAAAAAACATTAGATACCAGGTCTTTTATAAATTATCGTTTCATGATATAAAAATTTAAGTATAATTAAGTTTTTCATTCAAATGCCTTTTAAGCTGATGTTTTCATTCAATTTTTTTTTTTGTTCTAATTGTTTTCCAACAAAAAAAAATTATTTAATAAATCGAATTATATTAAGTATAAGAATATGCTTAAATTATTTTTTTAGAAAAAAAAATTTTGAACAGATGTAAAATAATTTATTAAATTTCATTTAAATTTTTTATAATTTTTTAACTTGCAATTTGCAATCACTGCTTGGATGTTTGCAATAGAATGTTTCTACTTTTAAAACAATCTTCAAGAAAAAATGTTTGATTCAAAACGTTAACAAAATTTACAATTTTTTCAATTTTTAAATTTTTTTTTCAATTTCAAATTTCAATCACAAAATTATTTGAATAAGTGAATTTTAAGGCTAAAGTTCTCTTGTTCAAATAGATTTCTTTTCAAATAAAATTCCTGAAAACAACTTGCATATTTATAGAAAATGTTTAGTCTAGATGTCACTATAAATAAAATGAATATATAAAAAAATGGTGTCGCGTTTTTCATATTCTATTCGACAATTTTTGTTAAAATAATTATTAGTTAAAAGCTTATATAATGTGTTAACAACATGTAAGATCTAAATTAAAACATGTCTATGGCTAACTTTTGCGATATATTAAATAAATTAATCTAATTGTTAAATTAATACTTGAGTAACTGTAAGTTACTATCTTAACTTAACTGGTTGTCATGGCAGTCGGCAAATTTTAAAAAATGAGAACCTTTTTTTTTTTTTAGTTGGTAAAAGTTGTAAAGGCACCCCCTATGTGACACCTACTTGCACCGGCCCTGTATATATATATATATATATTGATAAAATAAACATATGCAGAAAAAAAAATCTATTAGATCTTTCTACTATACTATAGTTTATTACTATACTACTATATACTATAATACCTTTACATACTATATGTTTATACTCCTTCTACTATTCTAGAACAATCTATTATAAAGAATCAAATTAAATATAACAGGAGCTTGTTTTTAAATTTTACATTTTACAGGACGCTTTTTTATAAGAGAAGTTAGCGTGACTGTTTGTTTACACGTTCTGCAAAATATTTTTTTTAGAAAACGAATGGAATTGAAAGCACACGATAGTCACGATAAGGGAAACTTTGGAGGTCTATACTGGTTGCTTGGGACACTTTTAGTGTAGGATCTTTTTGGTTTAGATTTTCAGATACTTAAAATGCAAGATTGTTAAATCTGAACTTAGTTACTAGATGGGTATAACGAAAGTGATTGAGTTTCATGCCACAGACGCCAACCTATAAAGTTGCTTTTTGTTTAGAGCAGTAAATAAAAAAATCTTTTTTAACTGGAAGTTAAAGTAATAATAAATAAATAATATTTAATTAGAAGAGTCAATGGACATACCCAATATTATTTTGTTAAACAATAAAAAACGTTTTTAAATTTTTATTTTTTATTATAAAAGCAAAATATTAATTTCTTTACTTATAACAATTTTGGGGTGTACCCAAAGTAGTACACCCTAAGTGAAATCTTAGTCAAAATCCATTGTTTAGCGATAATCAGGAGGTGAAATATATTTTAATAGTTATTACATATCAAAATAAAACAATGGGCGTTCTTAACATTATTTTTTTCTGTGGTTTAATTTATGAAAAACATTGTGGGACGTACCTTTCAACTTTCAACCTGAAATATTTAAAGTTTATTGTGATATTTAAAATGTCTCGACTCTTGTAAATATGCATAGTTTTCTTAAAAAATCAAGTGTTTACAAAATTTCCGTGTTTATGCTGGCGATAAAATTTTTTACGATCAGCTTAGATATTATCAACAAAAAACACTTCTTACACATCTAAGACATCATATTATCTGGTAAAAAAGTGTTTCAGAGAAGTTAATAACAAAATAGTTTTAAAATTTTAAACATTTTTCTGATGAAGCTTCTGACAATTAAAGTAGAGAACAACTACTTTTAATTATATAGTTTGTTGGTTCAAAGTTCAATAAGAGAATTTATCAGTTTCTTAGATTGCACAACTGGTGTTACTAGTAGGGATTATTTTATTTTTTGGTGAAAAATATTTTGGATTCCTTTTTATATATTGTGATATGGTGGTGCTAGAGCAATTAATGGTCACACTAAAGATTTGTGCTCTTGTATTTTAAATTTAAATGTAAAAGTTGCATATGCTCATTGCAACAGTCATAAACTTAATTTAGTTATTTGTGCCTCATACAAAGTGCAATATAACAAGTATCTTTTAGCACTATGTCATGTTTTGCAATATGACAAGTATCTTTTTTGGCACACTTTAATGAAATATCATACTTTTAAAACTTGTACATACCATTAACTTCATACTTTTCCATTAACTTCATGTGAGTGTGAGTGGACATAATATTCATTTTGGCACCTGCAATATATATGTTAAACACCCTGGTTTAGTACCAAACAATAATAACACTGATTTGGTGTTATCATTTTTATATATAAAATGCTAAATTGTATTTGTTATACTGGCAAATGCTTTTGTTTTTTTAATTGATTTTTTTCAGTTTTTATGTATTTATCAGCAAGATTCATTAAAATAAATGTTTTAAAATTTTATTTTTTTTAACCAAATGTGGCATTAAGAATGCATCTCCAAATACCTCTTTATATAATTTAAAATTGCATATTTAATCTAAAATTTAAAATTGCATATTTAATTTTTACAAATATTTTATTATAATTTGTTTTACTTTATAATATATTTGTTAAAATATAAATATAAAATTTTGCATTGTATAATTTATTTTATTAATGGTAATGTGAAAATATAGTTTTTAATAATAGAACTGTAAATAATGTGTAAATATATAATTTTATAATCTAAAAGTAAATTGCCCCGGTGATAACCTTGCATATTTTTGATTGAAGAAAGGCTCTTATTAGATTAACTTAATAGACCTCTTTTAATAATAGACCTCAGTTAATCTTGATAGATTAATCAAAGAGGTCTTCCATGGTGGGGTGTATGTATTTTTTTGCTTTTTAACTAATGACTAGAGGTACCAAAAAAAAAAAAAAGATCCTCAATATTTCCAATATGCCAACTATAGTTCAAAACTTGCTCAATGTGCTAACTCAAATGCTTGTAAGATATCTTTAAAGGGAGGGGGGTGAGGGACACCTGACACTCCCCTATCCTTCGGGACGGCCCTGGGGAGGGGTTGAAGATTTTTCCAAAAAATCAGTTGTACCCAAATAATTTCCTGGGTCCGCCCCTGTATATATATATATATATATATATATATATATATATATATATATATATATATATATATATATGTATATATATATATATACAGGTATATATATATATATATATATATATACATATATATATATATATATATATATATATATATATACACAGGTATATATATATATACCTGTATATATATATATACCTGTATATATATATATATACCTGTATGTGTATATATATATATATATATATATATATATATATATATATATATATATATATATATATATATATATATATACAGGTATATATATATATACCTGTATATACATATATATACCTGTATGTATATATATATATATATATATATATATATATATATATATATATATATATATATATATATATATATATATATATATATATATATATATATATATATATATATATATACAGACTACTAAAATGCCGGGACGCAACATTTCAAATCGATGCAAATTCGACAAGAGGGCTGACTTAGGCGGTTTGCAATATTGCATTTTGTTATAACTTAAACAAAAGTACTGTTAAATCTAGAATTAGATTGGTTCTATAAATTCTTGTATAAATCTGTGAATTTTTTTGATTGTTTGATATTCTCAGTAGGTCTTCTTTTTTATTTTTATTTTAGTGGAAGGTGCTTATAATAAACACGGATTCAACTTTAATGTATTATGTGTGTAGACTTAGTAATTTTACAGCTACATTACCATTATAGCATTGTTAATGGTTAGAATTTAGCTATGCATATTAAAAAAAATTTATTTTATTACTTAAGTTAAAATAAAATTATATTATATATAATATTGTTTTTTTTTTTCATTTTTGTATTATATATAATTTAGTAAAGCGAAATAAATTTAGTTTAGTCAATAAACATAAAAGCAAAAATAATTTGAGACATGCCTAGAAAATGTTCAGTAGGAAATTGTCGTGGAAACTATGATAGTACAGAAGAACGTGTCAAAGTTTACAAGTGATAAAGAGTTATGTTTAAGATGGTTAGGAGCTTTACCAAATAAAATTCAAAATCCAACTAATAATATGGGTATTTGCGAAAAGCACTGGCCTTTAGGATGCAGTATGCATTATCCTAAAAGATCTAAATATGAAGTGAGTTTTCTATAAATACTTGATATGCACAAAGCTTATTATTTTTAATCATTACTATAAGTTATTTTGAACTTAATTTCATATTTACTATATGTCCCATTGTGTTTATGCATACACAAATGTGTTTAAAGTATATATATATATATATATATATATATATATATATATATATATATATATATATATATATATATATATATATATATATATATATATATATATATATATATATATATATATATATATATATATATATATATATATATATGCTCTTTTTAAATATTTAATAAATTCCATCAGATCCTCCATCAATATTTTCTGGTTGTGCTTCTTCAATGTTACGACAAACAGGCACAATATTTCGTTCAACAATTTTTGCAAAGATTTCAATGGAATCTAGAAACTCATTACCTGACGAATTAAGTTTGTTTAACAAGATAGATCATATAGAAAGTTTTGAAATAGAACAATTTCTTAAGGATATAAAGCAGCGGTATAAGATATAATTAGATTATGTTACTTATTGTATTGTGTTAACATTTTATTAAAGTGCTATATTTGTTTTTATTCTCATTACTAATTACCTTATTATTTGATACATTTCTAGGTTTCCTGATTATTTTGTTACAAGTATATCAGATGTGATTATTTTTAATGTGACATTATTCAGTCCACCAGAAATAAATCTGTCTGTTAAAGTTAACTGCTTCACTCAACAGATTAATGCCTATATGAAACATACCCAAATTAACTGCAATGATATTCTTGGGTTTTCTCATAAACTGACACGCTGGTCTCAGTTAGATGCAGTTATTTCAAGATTGAAGTCAGTTACAACTGAATTGAGTGAAAAAATAAAACACTTAGCGCAAGAAATTGAATGCACATATATAAAAAAATCTGATGAAATAAGTTTTTTGCTTGAACAGTTTTTGCCTATGAAAGGTAAACATTAATCTACACTAGTTTTAAGACGTGCCATAGAATTATACCTCTCATCAAGATGCTGCTATAGAATTCTTTCTGATCTACTTTCTCTTCCCCATCCAAGTACTCTCAAACTTAAATTAGGCAGAATCGGTGAGGTAGAAACTCAAAAAGAATGTACTGAATGTATAAAATGTATATTTGAAACACTATCGAATTCTGAAAAATGTTGTAGTCTTCTTTTTGATGAAATTTAAACCAAGTATTCGTTTTCGAGGATGTCATTTAGTATTATGTTAAAGTATTATGTTAAACCAAGTATTTGTTTCCGAGGATGTCATTTAATAGGCTACAGTGAAGACAATCCTACTGAAGTTGCAAAGACTATACTTTGTTTTATGTTTAAGCCGATGTTAGGAAAACCAGCTTTTGTTTGTCATATGGTGCCAATCTTTAAGCTTTCTGTTAATTTTTTACAAAGTTTAATTGTTCAAATCACTCAGACAGTAGCAGAACTAGGTGGAGAAATTTTATGCCTTATTTCAAAAAAT